GTGCTTGAAAAGAATTGAAAAGAGCCCCTTTTTCTCCGTCTTTTGGTTGCAACAGAAAATCGCACACGGATCTATAATGCGGGTATTTCACAGTCTTACAGTGGACATTAACATTCAGCACACGGTTCTCTGCAGTAGGAATGAAATGGTTTTGAGTGGGAATGAACAAAAACCTATTAGAAAACCATGACTGTATTAAATTTCAGCTCGGAAAATTGAAATATTTCTCACTTGGACGCTTATTTCTGTAGATCAGAGCAAAACCCCAACGAAAAGGGCTCTTTAGTTGCTCTTTAGGGAATATTTCATCCCAGTGGCACTTCCAGAGTGGTGTGAGACCCATCAATGGCAAGTCGGCTTGCAAACAATAAACCTGTTTCATCTTTTTTAAAAACATTTTTAATTTTATAGAAAGTAATTAAGCCATCTAGGAGGGAAAGATAACATTGATTCCGCTGGAAAACTAATTATATTTTGCCTTTGTACAGAGTGTAACACTGTAATATATCGAAAAGGCATTTCCCTGGCAGTGCTTTAGAGTAACGAATTTCATTTTAAATGTATTGGCTGTAACTACAATGAGGAGTTTTCCTGTTTTGTTTACAGGTCTAAAATTACGCGGTGATGTACAGCAGCATGCACACGTCGTTTTAGGGTTTGAAAAAAAATAATACAAAATTAAAAGAGAGGGAGAGAGTCAGAGGTCCCTTTTATATTGTATTTTGGTTTTGGACTCCGATTAGGAAACAAATGGAGTGAGGACGTAAAAAAATGTACCTTTGATTCAGCTGAAGGAGAAACAGGGAAAGACAGAGAGCAGTCTGAGGTCCCTGTTAATGACATCCCGTCAAGATGCTTGTAAGACCCAAGAATGTTTACAACGTGGGCTCAAGTTCAATGACAAAATCCTTTGAAGGGGAAAGGGGAAGGAAAAAAAAAAAAAAAAGCAGCCCAGACACTTTGTGCAGTGGGCATGAACTTGAACAAAAGAAAGGAGTCAAAGGCTGGGAAGGGGGGGGGGAGAGGCATGAAGGAAGGACTCGGAGAGGTGTTCCCACTGCGCCTGTTTCTGCCTTTCTGAAGTTCGTAGGCGGATCTTTAGTACATTTTCATTTGTTTTAGGAGAAAAAATAAAGGAGGGGGGAAAGGAGAAGAGAAGAGAAGAGAAGAGAAGAGAAGAGAAGAGAAGAGAAGAGAAGAGAAGAGAGGAGGAGGGATGCCAATGTGGTGTGTGCCCCATCTCGGGGCAGGGCAGCCGGGTGATGAAGGTGCCTCTCCAGTGACTCTGTTTTAAACCACAATTTTCTTCCCAAAACCATATCAGAGCCTCCCCCCCTCCTCCCACCTCCCACCCAGGACCTCCCAGGGCTGCTCTGCCCTGAGTTTGGGGCTGCTCTGCCCCAGGTTTTGGGCTGCTTTGCCCCGGATTTTGGGGCTGCTCTGCCCCGTGTTTTCTGAGTTTCAAGTTCAACGGCAAAGGGGGGGGCTTCACCTGGCCAGGCGCCCCCCGGCAGCGGCTCCTTCCCGGCGTTTTACGAGGATGTCGGGCCTTTCTCGCCCTTTGCTGAGGCCGCCGTGTAAAGGTTTTACAGCTCTCCCCGAGACTCTCCTCCTCCCCTTCCCATCTGCATTTTCCACCTCGGATTTGGGGCTGGAGCTGAGGACAGGGGTTGGGGCCGGGGAGGGGGGGCAGAGGGGGGCACGTCTCTGTTTCAGCCCAGTTTCCCACTGGGGTAGGGATCTGAACTGGGCTGGAGGGGTTTGGGGGTTTCCAGCCGTTCCAGTGAGGGTTTGGGGACAGAAAGATCCCTAAATGGGGGGAAAAAAAAAAAAAAAAAAAAAGGGGGGGG